AAAAACTTGATTGTGAAAAATCACTTTAAAGTTAAAACTTGAACTTGTTGTTGATAGCATTTTCGAATGGTGTTAATACATTGTAGATGTGGATTTGCTCAAAGTCAAGAGGCATATGATGTTGCAGTGAATGGTTTGTTCAGTACATTGGATAGGATTGATGATCACTTGGGTGGTTCGCGGTACTTGTGTGGAGACAGATTGACTCTTGCGGATATTTGCTTGTTTACTACATTGATTAGGTTTGATCTTGTCTACAATGTTTTGTTCAAATGCACCAAGAAGAAGCTGCTTGAGTTTACCAATCTTCATGCTTACATGCGTGATATTTATCAGGTACCAATCTGTTAACTGACTGACTGTTATCATTTGTTCAGATAATTGCTGTAAATTGGTATTCAGGAAAACATAAGCCTATGTCCCAAATCAAGAACTTCCCAACATACAGTTATGTGCCATTGCATTTAACAAGTACTGGCTAGATTCTAGAGAGGCAATTGGGGGAAGTTTTAACTTGATTGATATCTATGTGTCCACTGCAGTTTTTTGCTGCAAGAGAGAGCATTAAGGCTCGATTCTAGTATCTCCAACCAAATCTCACTACACCTTAGTCACTCAAGCTAAGCCTAAGTGGTTGTTTGCTGTTGATATAAAAGAATTAGTTAATTTTTTATGTAGCCTGGCGGTTTAAAGAATCCTGAGTTATGATGGATCACCTCATTTCTGCCACTGCATGAGCTTAAGTTGGCCCTAAGGCCTTGCTAAAATTTGTTGCTTGCTGTTCTGCATATTTGGGGAATCAATTAATGCATACAGCATCTTGAATCACCTTTAGACTGCAAACGTTGTATATTCCCCTTTACTCCAGCTACTCTGTTTTTAGGAGTGAAGACTAGCAACGATTATGGTTCTTGTCTTTGTTAAACTGTTGTGACTTCAAACGTGCAGAATGCTGAATTCTAAATGTTTTACTTGTTATCAGATTCCAAAGGTTGCTGCCACTTGTAATTTTCCAGCGATCATGGATGGTTATTACCAGATACTTTTTCCATTAAATCCTGGCAGCATTCGACCTGTTATGCCCGTAGGATGTGAGCACGAATTCCTCTCAAGACCTCACAATAGGGAATCGATGTCTTCAGCAGGTAAAAGCGTGCAGCATGTTTTATGAGTGGCCTCCCAACACATGTAGTGTTGTATAACATGTTAAGTAAATAATAATCATCACCATACTTGTTAAATAAAAATGCATTGTAATTGTCAATTCAATAGTATTGTTTTTCCTTTTGGTACTTAGTATAGCATATGAGGCTGTACTGATACCAGCTTTTAATTTTGGGAGCATTTCAGAAGTAACATTGCCATCAGATAAACAAGAGAAATCTAATTACGTTACTTCAGAATGACAGATGATTAGTTATTGTAACTTGCAGCAACCCAGCAACTACGTTGCAAAAGGAGCAAAAAAATACTCTAGTCGCTTAAATGCTTATTAATTGACATTACAAGAATGAGAGGGAAATAATTAATGATTGAAAGAATAATAGAAAAACGGGTCAATCAGTCAAGGCTGCCTGCTGTGGTTCTGGTTCCAGGCCTAACAGGAAACATCAGGATGGAATCATTTGCAATTTAGTGCTCACAATCAAGATCTTTAGGCAGAAGGGAAGTCAATTTAAACATATAGGCCGAATTAGTGGCCGAAGGCAATTCAAAAGAAGATGATACCAAAAGAGCAATGCATGTATTGCCTCTGGATTTCATTGTTCAGACATTTTGGTCCCGGTATTCAACCCCTGCTGTTGTTGGACAGCCCTAACTATGCCAAGTATCATCAGACAAAAGAAGCTTAGAAACTATGTTCACAATTCACATCCGCAAACAGCGGAGAAACCCAGGTAAAGCCCATGAGTTTGTTGGCGAACATGTTGAAGGGTTGACCGAGAGATTTAGTCAAGGCAACTAGCTTTCATTTTTTGCAGCAAGTGCAACTGCAAAAGTGCCCTCAGACCTCAGTCAATCTAAACCATGCAAAAGCATCCCAAAATACTGCCCTGAACTTCCCATAAAACCTATGTTTGGCCAAGTAAATTAAAAATGGCAAAAATATTTCCATGATCAAGAATCACTTCATCTGGTGATTATTGCAGATTTATACCCTGCACCGTAAAAGCAGATCCTTAGCACCAGTGGTTACAGAAAAAACAACCGAGAACACAAGATCACCAACTTTTGATCAGACCATAACAATAAAATTTAATATAAATGACGCCAAACAGCTAGACCCATGATAGAAATAACAACACCCCCCTCTCCCACAACAACACACCCCACCCCACCCCCCACCCAAAAAAAAAAAAAAACAAAATCAGAAACAATATAATTTTCTTGAAAGAGGCTCATGCAGGCTGTTTCATTGCTAGTTAATGTCTTTATTAACATTCCAGCTACTCACTTCCTATTGCACAGACAATTATAATTACCTCTACAAAAGCATTAGCCTGTAAATGGCATCCCTAGTTCTGAGACAAATTAAAAGGATGAAGACTTTTA